TGTGGGAAAGTACACAGCAATAAAAACACTTGTAATGTGCATGGCATGAGAACATAACTGTTTATTCAATTGAAACTGGAATCAACATAGATCAAGTTACAATAGTAAACACGTTAAAGAAACAGGTTTAAAACATACCCGTTGCGCCATTGGAGGTTCAATTGCATCCTTCAAATTTGAAATTAGTTGGTATGAGTAAATACAATGATGCAAGAGCAAAGAAGTATGAACCATAGCTACGGAACCTGACCTGAGAACAATTCTTCTTCTGCTTTAAGCATTGACTTGGGGTTCATAGTGGTGGTCTTGGTGCTTTGGGCACTGCGGTTGCCTTACTAACTGCTTGTGTTTGGTTGCTTTGTGGTGGAGACGGTGTTGTATCAATTGGAACTTGGTTACTATCTACTGGGGTTGGGGTTAGAACGGGTGTAGATGGTTCTCTGTCCAACTAGGCAGGGGTACAATCTGTGTGAGTCTGGGTTATGTGTGGTGGGGCTGGTTCTTGGGCAAGTATAACTATGGTTCTATCTGCATCGACAGGTAGCACGATCTTTTCTGAAGACCGTGTTTTTACTCCCACAGATACTGCCATCACCCCCTCCAATTGAAATGGCTGATAAACAAGAAAAGTAATTGAATGTATAGACATTGTAAGATAGGCAGGTGCAATGGATGGTAGGGAAGAAAACAGGGCATGAAATAATTCACATTTATGTTGTCTAACCAAACAGAATAGCAGGACATAATTTCACATATATGATGGCTAATTAAATAGGATAGCATGACACAATTTCACATGTATGATGGCTAACTAAACAGGATAGAATGACATACTTCAAAATATGATGACTATGTAAACAGGATGACATGATATAACTATACGATGTGTCTATTAAAGTGGTTCGCATGCCATAAATCACAAACATGCCGTCGATGGAAACATGATGGCATGATATAATTCACGGATAGAATGACATAATTCAAAATATGATGACTATGTAAACAGGATGAGATGATATAACTATATTATGTCTTTAGAAAATGGGTTGGCATGCCATAATTCAGATACATGCTGCTTATGTAAACATCATGGCATGATATAATTCAAATATATGATTTATATAATAAGCAAGTGAGCAGAGGGCAATCGCATATATGATGTGTCAACTAAGGAGATGTCATTCAATATTGTGTATATGATGTAAAAACTAAGCATTGCAATACAACATATGCATGATATGAGTTATATAACCCTGCCAAGTTTGAGCATACACCTCATGGGGATAATAGGATGGGTCATCTGCCTCTGAATCCTCCTCTGAAGAGCAATCTGTAACCAGCAAGATATCTGCTTCAACAGGTAGCATTGTCTGCTATGAAGACCTTGTTGTCACTCCAGATTTCTCCATCACCAATTCAGTTGATGCACAGGAAGAGCAGTTGAATATACAAACATTGTCGACAAATGCAACAAGAAATACAAAAAAAAGGACGGCATTATATAATTCACATATATGACGCTTGGCTAAACAGCATGGCATTGCATAATCGCATATATAATGCCTTGCAACAAGATAGCATTGCATAATTCACATATATGATGTCTTGCAACAAGATGGCATTGCATAATTCACATATATGGTTATTAGACACTAAACAGGTGGCATTCACACAAAGCATGTCTAAGCTAAGCAAATGACATAGCAATGCAAGATACCATACGCACGATATGAGCAACATAACCCTGCCAAGTTAGAGCATGCACCTCAGTGGGAAATAGGACTGGTCATCTGTCTCTGAATCCTCCTCTAAGGATCTATCCGTAACCAGCAAGACATGTGCTTCGTCAGATAGCATTGTCTGCTCTGAAGACCTTGTTTCCACTCCATATTTTTCTATGATCGTGTCGAATGGCTGATGCATAGGAAGGATAATTGAATGTACTAAAATTGTTGACAAATTTAACACGTAATAAAAATGGTGGCATGATATAATTCACATATAAGATGACTGGCTAACCAGGGTGGCATTGTAAAATTCACATATATGATACCAGGCTAAACAAGATGGCATTGCATGATTCACATATACGATAAAGAAACTAAACAGATGGCATTCACACAAAGCATGTGTAAACTAAGAAGATGACATATTTGATGTATAAAGTAAGCAATGCAAGGCACCATATGCATGATATTACCAACCTCAGCATGCCAAGTTAGAGCAAAGACCTCAGGGGGTAAATAGGAGTGGTCTTCTCCTTCGGAATCCCCCTCGGAACAGTTATCTTCCTCTTGATTACAATCTGAAACGGGTGGAGGGGGATGCCTTTGCGCCCACCATGGAGCGACATCTACATGAAATTTTATTGCCATGCAAGGCTCGCCTCTTTTGCTCTACATGTCCAGTTCCATTGTGTACAATAACTGACATGCATAGGAATAAAACATAGTGAGATTATGTAAGGAGTGCATGCACAAATCCAGAGTGATGGTAGCAAACTATGGATAAACCCAAAACCAATGATAGCAGGCGGATAATAGCTTTAGTTAAAAAATATAGATAATGACTCCTTTAATGTTTGTTTGCACCCAACATGAAACTCATAGAAGACACCCGAGATTAACCAGATAGTAGACAGATAGTACTGATTGCTGCCCCAATATGTACCACACAACCATTTAAAAACTCAAGTTTCAGCATTAGTTTGGACCTGACTCAGAGTCTAATGGGTGAACATGATGATAAAATAGCATGTCATCATATTAAGCAATGCATAACGTAAGCAGACACGGAAGAGTGCAACCTCTCTTGTGGACCCGTGTAGTCCTCAAGGTCATCTTCTCAATTGATGATGGTAATGTCATTGTCGTTGTTGCCGGCAGCGGGGAAGAAGATCTGAGGCGGCGAAAGACAGTCTAGAGAGAGGATCCCTCCTGTGGTGAACCCTTCCGTCGTTGGAGCAGCTAAGCTGGGGTGGAACACAACGCAACAGGAGAAGGACAAACCACACAAGGTTTTCTTTGACACATATCTATAACAGAAGTAATTGTGTAAAGGGTTGTTTGAATTTGAGAATTCTAACAATGCAGGGATAGTGTCGGGGATATACCCCATGGTATGACCCGGCCGGAAGTATGACCTGGCCGGACTTGGCGATTCACTAGTAACCCGCCCTAACTTGGCGACTCATGAAGTGACCCGCCCGGATCTCTCCACTCACTGATGACTCGGCTGGGCCTGGTGACTCATTGGTAACCCGGCAGGCGGGTCAGAGGAGCGACAAGACCCAGTGGCCCAACGGGCGGTTCATGGAAGGCCGGCTTGTATTATGGTGGGCCGGCTTAAGAGAAAAGGCATAAGGAGTATTCCCTTACAAAGGAAGCAAGACTAGGACTCCACTTGTAATAGAGTAATCCTAATCCTACTAGGACTAGTTATGTAACCCGCCCCTTCAACTTATATAAGGAGGGGCGGGGCACCCCAAGAGGGAAAAGTTCCACAAGGTTTTCACAAGTTAGGTTTAGACAGACAACTCAATAGCTCTTGAGATAGAGCACCCTTGTAATTGTGATCATCATCATCAATATCAATGAAGCAGGATGTAGGATTTTACCTTCACCGTGAGGGGCCGAACCTGGGTAAAAACCTCCTATCTCTCGTCCCACTCAACCCCTCTCAAGCTACCACATAGATGCGTTGGCCTCATGACTAAGTCCTTTCAACGAGGACATCTGCCGTGACAATTCCACGACAGTTGGTGCCCACCGTGGGGCTAAGCGCACGGTGGTGTTGAGTTCTTGAAGGGAATTCTTAAGGGATCAAGAAGCTCGAGATATATCAAAAAAACAAAAGAAGACGCAGAAGGATCTATGGGCTCGGCGAACAGTCACATTAACATGTGCGAATTTGAGATCAAGAGTATTATGATTGCGTGCACCGCCGCGCGTGTTGCTAGGTGATCCAACGAGTTCGACTCTCTGTTGATATGCCTCCGCACATGACCAGGCAATCCATCTGGGTCACCGAAATTGATTGTTTTTCCAACTACATGGAGCGACGCATCAAGACACCACAAGATTTGATAGATCATTGTTGCCTAAGGCGATATGTTTTGTCATGGAAAGTAGTACTACAGTGCTGGCTATGGTGTCACCTGAAGCCAAATCGGTTTTTTCTCTTGTCAACTCTGATTGCGACATGCATACAAGGAATCTGCCAGGAGGTTTAATTCAAGAATTAAGGAAGGAAAAGCTATTACGTGGGATTAGCACATGAATACAAAAAAAAGGAGGGGGCCACCACGACCCGGAGGAGGAGTCAATGCTGCATGTCCAATCATGCTTCGCTTGCCTCTCCTGCCGTTCTGCCTCTGACACGGTTTTTTTTCTCGGCCTCCATGCTGCGAACCGCGGCCGCGCGGTGAGCCTCCACGGGAGAGTCGCCCAGCGCCATGAGCCGCCCGGTCGCCCTCCGGGCCGTCCCGCGTCAAGCCACCGCAGCTGTCCACTGGCCATGACCCGCCCCGTGCGGATCCGTTGTCGAATCGCCGGCCTTGCTCCACCAATTTATGTCGCGCCGCCTCTGAGCCGTTGGGTTTCAAGCCGCCACTGTCGGTGCTCACATCCGCACCTCTAAGCCGTGCCTCTCGCCGCTGCCTGGGCTGCCTCTACGGGCCTGCCTGCCTCCGCCTCTGCTACGACCAAGCCGTCGCCCTTTCCTTACGTCGCCACCGACCGCCTGCACCCCACGCCTCCGGGTTGCCTTGCGTCAAGCCACTGGAGAGCCGCCCCGCGCGGATCGCGTATTGAGCCACCGAGCTTCGCCGTTCGACTTGGGCCGCCCCATTTTGTCTCCATCACGGGCTGCTCGTGCCTCGCCGGCCCGGCCCGGGTCGCCACCGTTGAGCCGCCCGCTCGGAGCCACCGTTGTTCCTGCGAGTCAGGCCCTCCTTTGAGCCGGTCGGGCCTCCACCGTCGCCGCTTCGGCCTCGCTCTGAGTCACTGGGAGGGCTTCGCGCCGAGTCGCTTCAGACCTCCACCTTGGCCTCGCTCCTTCGCCTTGTCTGCACCAAGCCACCACTCGCCACCTCCGTGGTGAGCTACCATGCCAAGGCCTCCCCTGCTGGCAACACCCTTGCTATTGCACCACCTCAAACAGCCTGCCGTGAACGCCTCCGGGTCGCTGCCTCTTCGTCGAGCTTCAGTGATCACCTTGCCGGATCTTCCTTGCCTGCAAACTGGCCGAACAACATGGCCCAGCGCTACATGCATGAGGCCGCTGCCTTGCCGCATCGCCTCAGCCTACATCTTATCAAAACCAACTACGGCCTGGAGATGGATTGGTCAAACCTCTATGACTTGGAGGAAGACTCGGCCATGGCTTGCTAGTGCCTCTGTACTGCCCTCGCATCATCCGCCGACCCAGTGCCGGCGAGGAGCCGCCTGGCGCAGCCCTTGCCTCTAAGCCGCCATCGCCATCATCCGTCCGCCGGAGTCGCTGTCTTCTACTCCAAGTCAACTTCATGACCTCCGCCGAGTTGCCATCAGGGCCGTCCCGCCTCGACTCATCCCGAGTCGCCTGCGCCCTCAATTCGAGTCACCGCCATGGTCTCAAGCTAGCTCCGTGTTGTTCCCATTCTGGGCCACCTCTGTATCACCGGCATGCCGGGCCACCGCAGGCCAGCCTCAACCTGCCATGACCCGCTAGCCTTGTTGTGGCTGTCCGCGAGCCGCCGTTTCTAAAGCCGCTGACGCTCCCTGCCTTCGCGGCCTCGCCCTTGCACTGCTCAGACTCGCCATCACGCCTCCACCTTGCTGGTGAACCACCGGCCACCTCTATTGGATTCGATTGAGCCGCCACACCTTAAGCAGCCGACCGGCTCTACTTCACCTCCCTTCAGAGATGTTGCTCCCATCGCCCCTACTTAGTTTTTACCTCTAAGCCGCTGCGTTGTTACATGCTCTCCTACTAATTGCTGTCTAGAGAAAGGTGTCGGATTTCGGGTTCCGGCAGACCTTTGAGGTTCGAACACTGGGGTGCGCGCGGAGATTTCGCCTTCTACCAACCTGCACCCCTCCGCCTCGCTAAGATCTAAGCTATGGAAAGAACAGCACAAGAGACACAGGGTTTATACTGGTTCGGGCCACCATTATGGTGTAATACCCTATTCCAGTGTGTGATGTGGTGGATTGCCTCTTGGGCTGATGATGATGAGCAATACAAGGAAGAACAGCCTCGCGAGGGTCTGTTCTTGGCTGGGGGGATGAACTGCTAGGAGGAGTTCAGTCACCCTTTTCTCTCTCTCTTCTCAATTCTCTCTCTGATTTCAATCCCCCTGCCCTGCGGGTGGCTAGTCCTATTTATAGGCAAAGGCCCTGGGCCTCTTCCCAAATATTGAGCGGGAAGGACGCCAACAATTGGCCTTTTTGAAGGGGAACATCTGGTACACTTATCCTGACTAAAGTTGGTCCTCGCCTGCCAAAGGCTCTGGTGGTGATGCTGGCTTGGGCTCCACAGTGACTTCTTCCCTGTCATTGGACTGGTCTCGGTCTCGTTGCAACGAAACGGGTGCCTTTGCTTGATGCTCTCGCCTGCGCTTGCTCCCTTTGCACCAAAGAGGAAAGGAGGACACTGCACGGCTGGTGCCCGCCTGGAACCCTTGGTCGTCATGGCTTGCGTCACGGGCACCTCGTGAGGTACCCCGCCTTGATCTCTCCGCCTCCTCGCGAGCCAGCCTGATGAGGCCGTGCCTGAGGAAGCTCCGTGTCGTCCGCCCCGCGAGGCTTGGCCCCTCGCGAGGGTCTTGAGTCTGTGTTGATGAAGACGGGCCGTGCTAGGCCCCCTTTGAGCCATGCCGCAGGCCGTAGGCAGACAAGTCTGGGGACCCCGTTCCCAGAACGCCGACAGTAGCCCCCGGGCCCAAGGTGCGCCCGGACTTGGCTGTGCAGGGAGGCGAATGGGCAAGGGCGAAGTGCCGCAGGCCCTAACAGCCTGTGGCCTTGGGCGCCGCGTGGCGGTTGGTTGGGCATGGGCGGCACTGTTCCCCCATGCCCCCCTTATTTTGCGCCATGCTAGGTGGACTCGTAGTCATACACAGCCGCTCCCCTTTCTGTTGCTCGAGCGCCCTCTGTCCTTCCTCCGCTCGAACTCCAGCTTCTGTTTTCAACCCAATCTCGAACCTTCCCCCCCCCCCTTCCCATCGCCATGGCTCCGACGAAGAAGGGAAGAGGGAAGAAACCCATGCCTCCGCCTTGCCCGCCGCCGTTGGCGGCCCCCGCCGAGGGCTTGGGCAAGGTCAGCTCAGCTCTGGCCACTATCTTCAACGAATGCGGGAGGACAACGGCCTGGCCCGCGTCCCACTTCTCCATCGACAGGATAGTCACCGAGGTCCCGTATTTTGCCGACGCCCTGTGGGCAGGTCTGGTTCCCCCCTTTTCTGATTTCTTCAATGCCGTGCTTTCCCACTATCAGATCCACATGATGCATCTGGGTCCTGAATCCATCATCCTCCTTTCGGTCTTCGCCTTTGTTTGTGAGGCAATGATAGGCATCCTTCCTTCGATTGCCTTGTTGCGCCACTTCTTCTCTCTGCGCCTTGTCGACCCTACCCAATGCTGGGCGTGCGTGAGCTTCGTTGCCGCATCTGAGACAGCGGCCTCAGGGATTGACTTCAGGCTCCCTCTGCCCGCGGCTGGGTTCCGCAAGCGGTGGCTGTATGTGGATGTAGGGGTGCCCAACCCCCTGCTATTGGAGCCAACTTCGCCTGCTGTCCCCAATTCGAGCTGGGGCCAGGAGACGCTTGAGAGCCCTCGGCTCGTCTTCGTCTGGCACCGCTTCATGTTCTTGAGGTCGCTTGGCGTGACAGCGCCCAAGGTGGTGAAGGAGTTCCTGCTACGCCGCGTTGCTCCTCTCCAACGCCACTCCCGCCGGATGTGGGCCTTCAGCAGGCGCAATGATCATATGAAGCTCCAGGAAGAGGACCTGATGCCTGAAGTGCTGAGGACAGCACTCTTGACCCTGACTGGGGACCCCAACCCTGGCAGCATCCAGCAGGGAGGGGCCTTGCTGTACCTCTGCCAGAACAGGGGCGATTTTGTGAATCAGATGCCTATCTTTGATGAGTGGGGGCCGCGCCCCGCTGGCCTCCAGGGGCCTCGCGAGAACCCAGTGATGGTGAATGCCCTTCCAGTCGGCCAAGGCGACTCTTCCTCAAGTGGCGGAGCAGGGAGGCATGAGGCGCCAGAGGCCGAGGAGGCTCCCGGCGGGGTGACAGCGCCGGGCGATGCTCATGAGGGAGCAGCTCTTGGGGCCCGTGCCGCTGAGGCTGAGGGCGGCAAGCAGCTGCCCTCAGCACCTGCGACTAAGGCCCTTGACGCTCCAGCCGCTTCTCTTGGCGAGGCGATTGGCAGCGCGCATCAGGCAGGCGCCTCTGACACGGATCGCCTTGACACTCCGTCTTCGTCGCAGGTTGATCCCTGCGCTCAACTCTTGGGCCGCTTCCGCGTGGACTTTGAGGCCCTCCGGAAGAGAAGGGAGGCCCTGGGCGACGATTACCCTTGTCGCCTGCTAAAGCGTAGGAAGTACTTCGCCACTGATGAGTAAGCCTTCTCCTTTCCCAGCTCCCGATCCTTCTGTTGCTTTTACTGATCCTTGCTCCGCACGCCCCTTCCAGCCGAGCTCGCGGAGACGGTTGAGGTGCCGTCCCCCTTGGCTTCGCCCCCTCCACCGTCCTCAAGCGCTCCGAGCAACAGAGCCCTTGTGGTGAGGGCAATCGGAGAGGCGAACCGTCCCGAGGCACATCGTGGCCCTGCACACCTCGCGATCCTCCTTCATGGGCCTTCTCGTGGCATAGCCAGCCTGTCGTGGGCTTCTCGCCTAGTCGTGGACTGCGATTGGCTGAGGCGCTCCCTGCGCTCTTCATCTGGGGACGGGCTGGCTCCAGGCCGGGCTTCTGGCGTGGCGTGCCCGGCCGTCGCGAGGGTGCCAGCCCCCAGCCCCCTGCCTGGAGGGGGAGTGTTGATTCGTGGCCCCCGGCGCTTGCTCGGGGCAGATGATGGTGTGGAAGACGTGCTCGAGCGCGCCCGGGAGCGTCGCGCTCTTTGCCAAGGATTCCTTCGAAGGGAGGCTGACGCGGTGAGCCTGCTTGGTGAGGAGCTTGCTGATGAAGACACGCGCCTTGAGGCCAAGGGCCTGCGCCTGGCTGCAGAGAGGCGCGAGCTGGAGGGCGCCATCACCCTTGCGCGCCGTCAGCGCGATCTTGACGACGCAGAGGCCAAGGCGTCACTGGTGGCCTCTCGGGAGGCCCGATCTTGGGCCGCTGAGGAGGCCCGAGAAGCTGACCGGTGGCGAGAGGCGGCGGAGGAGCGGGCTCGGGAGCTCCTGGCCTGGTGCCACTCACTGGAGGAGCAAGTGGAGTTGCGCGAGGCAGCCCTCGCGTGGATGAAGGTGGCCTCTGGCGACCCAGCAGAGCTCCAGAAGCGTGAGGAGGCGCTGACGCTGGAAGCCGCCGAACGTACCCGCGAGTACGAGCGTCTGGAGACGAGGGAGCGCTTGGTGACGCAAGCGGAGGATGATGTCGCTGCACGGGAAGCATGTGTCCTGGAGGAGGTCGGACGTCGGGTGGCGATGGCGCACTTGAACCTCAAGCACGAGTTCGAGGAGAGGCTGGAGTTGATCCGGGCCGAGGCTGAAGGTAGGACTGCTGCCTTGAGGGCCAAGCTGGAGGAAGCGACGCGGCAGGCCGATGCTTTTCGGGCCGCCCTTGAGGTAGCGCAAGGGGAGTCAACCACCTCCCAGGCCGAGGTGCTCCTTCTTCGCCAGCGGGTGGAGGAGGCTGAGGTCGTTGCGCGCCAGAATGCGGACGAGATACGTCAGCGGCGGATCCTGGAGCATGAGCACGGCCCCATGCTCACCACACTCCGGGAGAGAGCCAACACAGCCTTGGGCAACATCTGCGAGGCGGCTGTTGGCGAGCCGCACGCAGTCAACTACGCCGGCAACCTTCAGTTCTTCACCAACGTGGTGACGCAGCTGGAGGCGCGGTCGGTTAGGGCCGACAGGTTGGTGGAGGGGAGGAGCCGCGCCCTGCTCGGGCGCGCCTTTTCTCGCGTCTTCAGCCATCTCCGGAACATGGATCCCCACTTCGATTTCGACGCCGCCATCGCCCCAGTCCCCCAGGCCGTTCGAGATGACCTAGCGCACTGGGTGGAAGACAATGTGAATGCTCTTGTCAGGTCCTTCGCTTCAGACAACGACGGCGTGATCATGGCTGTCGACGGGGCGGTGTGGTGAACGGCCCTGACATCGCTGGCGGCGACGCAGATAGCGATGGCGAGTTCAGCGACGCCAGCAACGGTTCGGGTGGTGCTCCTGAGGACGCGTTGGGGGATTTATCCGACTGATCATGCATCGTTCCTGTTTCCTTACCCTGCATGAATAGAACTCAGATTTTGGCCTGATGGCTGTGAGAGCATTTTGGAGGGGGTGCCCCTCATGTAAAATTTGTGTTCATCGTATTAGTAGACGTTACATGGACCATGCGCCCGCGCCAAGTGGTTGGCTTAAGCGATGCACTGGTCGGCTAGTTTACCTTTGTCCCGTGCGGGCCCTGAGGTAGCCTGTGGGAGGCTGTGGTATCCCGAGTATTCCCTGATTGAATCCGTAGGATCTGCAGTAAAAAAACCCTCCTGAGAGGACGCGGCGGCGGCAGTCTGGGCTGCGCGCAAGCTAGGCCTGACCCTGCTCGCGAGGGGCTCATGAGGGGAGGCAACTGAGACGAAGCGGTAATCAAAACGCGAGAAATTGCTCGAACGAGACTAAGCACCCCTTCCCGAACACATGCAAATCTCAAATTCGAATCCAACTTAAATCCAGCGGGGGAAAGTGACAACCAAAGGGAAAAGCAACGAAAGCAGA